TGTCTTTGAGGCATTCTAGAATTATCTGAAATATTTCTAAGTCTGGAACTAAAATCTGACTTAAATCTAATCTGACTGAAATCTAAACTATATCTGGATCTTTAATCTATCCGGAATCTTAACTATATCTGAAATCTTAAATATATCTGAAATCTTAATTTGACTGAATCTGAAATATATCTCGAACCGTCCGGACTGACCGGACAGGTTCAACCGAACTGGACCGACAACTCACTCGGAGTTGGTCGGTCATTCGCTTGACTATGTGCAGCTCGGTTTGACCGTGGTCCGAGTTCGGCGTGGCAACTCAGGCCGGCACGAACTCGACTGACACGGCTTAGCCGATGCACGAGTTTGAAACGGTGCCACGGTCACTGACGCAGGGGCGTGCTTGGACCACGGCTAACGGAACGGCGCGTAGACGGCAAGTCGAATGTACTCGGCGCACGGGCACGCACTCGGGGGTTGACTCAGACTCGGTGCACGGGCACGCACTCGGCGATTCGGCTCCAACAGTCGGACAAGGGACGGTCACGTGCGCGAGACGAAGATACGCATTACGAGTTGACGATACGATGACTAATAAATATCCAGACGGTTCTAGGGTTCGGGCGGTTAAACTCGGATTCGAAATAATACCCAGTTATCAAAACCGGATAAAACTAGGGTTCCCGATTCTCGAGAATCCTAACTCAATTAAGGCCGATAATTATAATATATATATATATATATATATATATATTTATGTGATTTATATTGATTTTATAATCAACTACAGCAGCTAAAATCATGTCCGGCTAATATTATAAAATATCGCGAAATGAGGCTAACGTCTCGATTTTTAATTTATATCAAATGGTGTCCGAACATTACGAAATTCGAAACGCACTATTTTCAACACCTACATGGTCCATGGTCAAAATATCGGGTCAAAATTCAACTCCTAACCCATTCAACTCACCATCGCTTCAACCGGTCAAATACTTAAAAATCGCGTTCATCTATCTAACGAACTCTAAATATTCTCAAATTCGCACCTAAGACTCAAGACATCGAAATGAATTTCATAAAATTTATTTCATCGTTATATCGTATTTTTATAAAAAGCTCGAAAAATCAACCTCAAACTCGATAGATCCCAATAAATCGTAAATCGCTCAAATCCTCAAATTCACATTTTTATAGCATCTTAATAATCATATCTAAGCTCATGGAGAAAGGTTCGAGCCGTTTTACCTTAAAACGAGCTCGAATCGCAAAATCAGAAAAGAGAAAGGTCAATGAAAAGGACCGGTGCTTGAATCGAACCGATTTTTGGAGCTGAACGGGATGGCTCGGGGCTGAGGGGTCGCGACTTTGGAGCTGCTGGTTCAGACTTGGACCGAGGTGGCTCGTTGGCCACAGTTCTAGGGCGAGTTCGGTGCAGGCGCGCAGAGGGCTGGGGAGGGGCGCCGGCAGCTGGTTCGACGTTTTCCGGCAGAGCTGAACTCAAGCTTGCAGCTAGTCGCTGGTACGGATGCCGAGGAACACGCAGGTGGAGCTGGGTGGTACAGTGGCGTACGGACGACGTGTACTGGTGCAGGGGACGGGTCTTGAGTTCGCGGTCATGGCAAGGACGACGCGAACGATGTTTGCAGGTGATGGTTGCGCGAGATTCGAGCTCGTGGACGGCGGATGTGGGTTGTTGCGGTGTTGTGCGCGTATGGAGCTGGACAGGTCGCGGCTTAAGCCGGTTCACTATTTTCCAGCGGCTTTTGAGCTCGGGAGGCGCGGACTGGAGCTGGCTCACCGGAACTCGGGTCGCCGGAGGTCGGGTCGTCCGGGATGAAGGAGCTTGGCCGAATTTTGAAGTTTAAGATATGGACTCTTGTAGAGATGATGGAGAAGCTTAAGAGAACTAACTTTTGTTCTTGATATTTGCTAAGAAATGGTTAATTTGAGCTAGATCTTGAAGATGTGGGGTAGATGTTTAGTAGATCTTTCATTTTTTTAAAAAAAAGATGATGATGAATAGTGCTTGGTAGGCTAGGGTTTGGAA